GCTGACAACCTTCATACGAATGAATATTGCAGAGAGAAAATTAGTACACGAATTGGTTATTTTTCCAATCGCTTTGGATGAGATACGGTAACAGACAGACGAATGGACATTTGGATGTTTAGACATAAAGTATCACGTTATCGAAACATTTTTGTACGAACAAATAAGAACATACACTAACAAATACTTACCTTCAGTAAGTATATCGAGTTTCACTTGAATGAAACAAGTATATCAAGAACTCGAAGAGTATCATTTCAGACATGAATAACATTTAGTCTGTATTAAAAAAAATAAATCCATATTAATCAGACTCCAAAAATCAATAATCAATGACTACGTCTTGGGACCTTCAAAATTTAATTATGAACAAGTATATTCTCAATGAATGTTGCAACATGTCTAGTGGGCAAAAGCAATATTTCTTTTCTTTTCTTTTTATCTTTGAACGAGTCCGGAAAAATTTCACATTCAGCCAAATAATTCCGATTAAGCATGTTATAACTAGTAAGTACATTATAGAGGTATATGCGGGAAAATATATACGACTACTATAGCATGTTTGAGCTTGTCTTGGCCATATATATATATTTCCTTTGTGAAGTTACATAGTCAACCACATTTCCACTTTTAAGTTTCAAAGCAAAACTTCAAATCAAGTACATAATAGCAAACCATTTTAAAACTTGTCGTCCGTGGCAATATCCACAATGAAAATTAAATCAAGAATAAATAGCTTACGAAGCGGATAATACTATTAGGCGTATAACACAACAGCGTTTGACACTGCTAAATCACTATTTAAAAATACAATCATCCAACTCACCCTTGCACAAAGAGGTATTTAGTACAAAGAAAACTGCCACAATCAGTTGAAAATTGATCGTATGCGTTTGTTTGTCACTGATAATGTCAATTATAATACATTGAACGTCACTACAGGTAACTACTTTCAATTCTATGGCGAAGAATATGTTGCTCCTGTGGCCAAACCTCAACAGTATAATCACATCCTACCAACAGATTATGAGCATAATCGAACATCTCCTTAGGTTATAATGCAATAAGAAATGTATCAAATAAAATTGATAGAGAACATCTGCTATACAACACTATATGCAAATATTGTTATATTATCTAATACAATGAAACGTGAAACAATAACAGCGTGATCAAGACTACAGATCACATAGCTTTTCCAGCTTACGACACTAATGGATTCCCGGTCTCCCAGTGATCCAATGAATCCTTTCCATGTCCCTCCCCCTCCTCAATACGCAAGTTTAAATTACTTAATTGTTATTGTTTTGAAATATGACAAATGTATATTTCGATTTTTCTATGTTAACGTCGCATCTTTAATTTCATTCTAGACGAACAAAAAGGCAAAACAAGTGGGGCTAAGATGATGAGAAAGAAGAACAAATTTACCACTGCTTACATTCAAGAAGAACCAAACAAAATTAATTACAGCTGTAATCAATCAACAAAATATATGTAACCTTTCAATTTGAGACAATCTTAACAAACCCAACTAATATTGTAGTATCATTCAGTACACGAAAATTTGATATCTGTTTATACTCATCATTCCATCGGCTATATTAAAGTTGTATCAGAAGAGTGCATAACACAAGATAACATCCCTCAGAGACATAAGTCAATAATCTACACCTTCCGTGTCATTGGAGCGTCGTCTTGAATCATCACAACATGTATACTATCCACTCTCTATTTAAGATTGATTCCAAATGTGTTACATAAATATTACTTACATGACGTTCGAACGGAAAACTGGACAAATTGACGGACTAGTCGGAGGGACATTACCAATTGCAACATATTTGCATCAGTGTGGACAGAATTATTCTATTTGGTCAATGATATCTTTATGTCATACGGTACAAGGTCTGTCTTCAAAACAAACAACTTCTGTTTAGTCTAACGACTTGTTCATCATATATATATATATATATATATATATATATATATATATATATATATATATATATATATATATATACACTATATATATATATATATATATATATATATATATATATATATAGTGTATATGACATATGTTGCACGATAAGTAATTACGGGCATGATGTTAGTACATAAAATTTTAACATTAAATGCATTTTATATGAGGGGCCCCGAGAAGCCGAGTAGTCTAAAGCGCTGTCCATTACGGATCACTGCCATCTTACCTCTGTCTGCGTGAGTTCGAGTATATGATTTGACGAATGTGGATATGTGAGAAATCTTGCCAGTAGCTTCTCGTGGGTCGGTGGTTCTTTCCGGTGATTTGCCGGTTTCTTCCTCCACCATTAATATTGGCCGCCATGAATAGCCTATCGTGTGCTGAAAAATGGCGTTAAGCCCAACAACAACAACAAGCATTTTATATTTATAATATTATTTATTTATATACTTGGGTAACTATCAACGTTGTTTTAGACATTAATTTCTAACCTGTTGTCTTAATATATCAATTTCATCACTTAACAACCCTGAAACTAAACAAAATTGGCCAAATTGTAGCCGATCCTAATATAAAAACCGAGTTCAAATTGGTGTTAGGAAGTCAATGCTATTTTCCTGGCAGCTATTATTATATTCACAAGAAAATGCGGTTTGTCCTCCACGAATATTGATGTGCATGCAAAGTGTGAAGAACAACAAAAGAAGCCACTTATAACTAACCTAGCTGATCGTTACTTTTCACGGTTTAACTGCTCCGGTGACCTAGTTGTTAGAGCGAATGCCTCAGATGAGGAAGGTCTTGGGTTTTACCACGGTGGAGTCTTTCAAATTGGTACCAACAGCTGCCTCGCTTGACGTCCAGCATTAAGAGGTTAGTGTTAGGACTGGTCAGCCTGGTGTTAGGATAATGTGACTGAGTGGGACATCATTCTACATGTCTGCGGCATGATACAAGAGTGCTAGACATCACTATAAACTGCCACACTGCAGATATCGTAGCGATATGACTGAAAAAATGTTAAAGCTACGTTAAAAATCATAATCCCACAACATCACATCACTTTTCAAGGTTATAATTCATGCATTTTATTCCTAATATACCAGACACCTTCATAGGAGAGATAATGTTACCACGTTCTTTTAGAATATCCTCTCCTGATTGGTGTCTTCCAATAATATGAAACACATTATTACGGCTCTATGTTTTAAATTAAGTAACAGGACGAAATCAAGCAAGCAAGTCTAGCAATATCAATTAATTTATTTATTTTTATGGTGATGTCTGTCACTTGAACGTCATGCCACAGACATGCAGGAACTTGTCTCAGCATGTCTCGTGATCATTACACCAGGCCGACTAGTCCTAACACTTACAGTTTCATGCTGAGTATCATACAAAACCACCGCATTCTTTTTAATCCTTGGCTTGACTCTGCCTGGAGTTCGAATTCATGATTTTCATTTTACTACTCGAACGCTCAATGTACATATGAAATAGGTTTAAAATGTCCGAGCTCTCAAAGTTCAATTACATAGAATGTTCCGAACGAATAACCATAAGTTTCAATGCCTAGTATTATTGATGGGTCAGAATACTATAATCCTGAATGAATTAAGTATGAATTAAGCCATGAAATGAACTAGAGGCTCAAAATTCCGGTGAATATTTAAAATAATTAATTCCTCTCAAACTGTAGCTGAACACAGCTGTAAACTCTAAGGATTCCTAAGGACTGATATTAAAGCAGAATCTTTAAAATGACATTCACGTGACCCGACAAAATCACGTGACCCGATAATCAATATAATTTCCTAATAATAAATTCATGTCTTCAACTAAAATCGAAATAAACATTTTCAAAAACTTAAAAACTTAATTAAGGTCTGTTAGGAAGTAAATCTACACTAAAATGCGGACAACAGTCAGGCAATATATTCAGCTCCAAGTACGTCTGCACCAACTGCAATAGGGATTGTCACACGAGCATAGGCAGCACAGCCATAACAAACGATGCCAAAACCCCAGAGAAAGAAGACACTCCAAGAGCATTATTCGCATCCTCTCCCGAGCATGAGATGCCAATGAATATATATATATATATATATATATATATATATATATATATATATATATATATATATATATATATATATATATATATATAGATATATATATATTGCTATGTATTCCTAATACATAGCAATATAAAGTGTATTGCTGTATTAGTTGCCACGTTTAAGGGTTCCTGCGTCCCACTTTATTTAACCTCATTTTTCAGAAGAAAAATCTTCGTCTGTTGGGAAATGTCTCATTTCGCTGTCATAATTATGTGGTATAATTGTATAATTATTTGGATGTTTCAGTATTAACAAAAAGTCAAACACATCTCATACAGGCCATTTTTTTTAGGCTTTTTTATAACTAAACAGAAGAATTGAGTTGATTTTAATGTTGCATGTATTAAAATAATAAAAATGTTCTAACTTGTATAGATGTATAAGATAGCTGGATAGACTAAACAATAAGTGTATGTGCAAACTTTAATAGCTGTTTACAATTAGTCGTGTCAGATACAAAAATTGATATGCGATCGTTGTTATTATAATACTGGTCTTTTACAGGCGTTCTGATAAAACTATTTAATACGTAACACGTAACTTCACTTACGCGTATGTCGTTCCAGATTCCTATGAAAGAAATCAAGGAATATGATTTTTTTATTGCAAAGAATTATAAATGTTTACCAGACAGAACAGACAGTGCTATCCTTTGATTCTGTATTAGAATCTTGATAATAGTGGGTAGAATTAATAGTTTAATTCAAACAATACTATCATACAAGTTAAAGAAATTAACTTCTTAATGAATGTTACGAAATGAACAAATACCAAAATATAAGATTTTAATGAAAACGGATAAAAAGTAAACAATTGTTACTAATCTAATGAATGAATTAATGAACAAATACTACTACTACTGCTGCTACTACCACTACTACTACTACTAAATCGCTACGGTGTCCTAGTGGTTAGATCGTCCGCCTCGGATGCGGAAGGTCTTGGGTTCGTTTCCCACTCGAGTCATACCAAATACTTACAAAATTGGTACTAACAGCTGCTTCTCTTGACGCTCAGCATTACGACGATAGTGTTAGGAATTATCGACCTGGTGTCAGGGTAATGTGACTGGGTGAGACATGCTACATGTTTGCTGGCTTGATGCCCAGTGCTTGACATCACTATAAACTGCCACAACATACATCGTAGCGATATGACTGAAAAATTGTTATAGCTTCGTACAAAATCATAATCTCATCACATCACTACTACTACTACTACTACTAATACTACTACTACTGCAAATAATAATAATAATAATAATAATAATAATAATAATAATAATAATAATAATAATAATAATAATAATAATAATAATAATGTTGTGGTATATGATTTTAAATATGTGCAACAAAATAGACTTGTGGTAGCTTTGTTTTGATTAAATTAAAATCATTGAAGTTCGAGTTGATTTGCTTTAGTTAGTTTCTCCATTATGTGTGTTTATGTACGGCAGTGGGGAGGAAGGGCGAGAAATATGAATGTTGGTCTATACTCCTAGCGATATGTTCACTTGCCAACATTAATATAAATTTAAACTTACAAATGTTATATCACTATATGTACCAGTACACCAGTTTTATCAAGATGTGTCATTGAGGGTTTTAAAATTTGCAATATCAGCATAATGTTGGCTATATGTCACACGGCTTACTATTATGTAACATATTGACTCTGTTCTTTTTCTGTATCTGAATATTGCACCTCCTTCATTGTTCTAAAAAAGAGAAAATATATATTCAGCAAAATAAACATTGCTTGTAATTCTTGTGATGTGGCATCACCTGTACATAGCTTAAATGTGAATTCTTGTGATGTGGCATCACCTGTACATAGCTTAAATGTGAATTCTTGTGATGTGGCATCACCTTACATAGCTTAAATGTGAATTCTTGTGATGTGGCATCACCTGTACATAGCTTAAATGTATTTAACAACATTTTATGCATAATTAGCATTGGAAAATAAGCTAGTTTTCTTACATTTAGTGTAAATGTTGAAATGTAAATGAAGGTTTGCAATGTCTTTCCTACTCCGCTTTATTTTCTGAACATTTCCTTCACAACCGGTGTAGCTATTGAAAGTTTAGACGTATCGTCTGATGATAGTGGTTTTCGCACAGATGAGGATTTCTCGTGGAGATTTGCATCAATTTAATTGTATCATTACTAAATAATAAAATGTTCACAAGTGCTTGGTCCATGGAGCCAAACGTTTGCATAATCACACTGGATTTAGTTATTACAATGCTGTATGTTTCGTTTGCTTGTTAGTATTTTCTTACTTAAAGTATCAATCTGACGTTAAATAGCAATAATGCATGATGATGTATCTAGTCTCTGTAATAAGAATATGAAAGATGCTTCATGCAATTGAAGTAGATACATAAGTCACACGTGAAGTATTTTGCATGCCTGAACAATAGTTTACTAATGCACCAAAACGTTTTGCTTATTTTATGTTTGACGTATTACCAATATATTGTACTTTTTACTCAACAAAAATACACAGCTTAATTACTGAATATTATGTTATAATTTGTGAGACCGTAGGAATCCAAATCAGCTATGAATCTATAAAAACCATGTAAACAGGGAATTAAAAGAAAAGTTCAACTAATATCAAAATGCACCAAAAATGTCCCCATCTAATGTCTTCAGTTCTCTCTAGTTTTGTTATTATTGTTATTACCGTTTTTATGCACATTAGGTATTTTTCTGAGGGAATGACCAAAACCAAAACACAAGACACACACACATGAGCAGGTAACCAGCAACATATATCACAGAGCAGAATTATGGTGACAGAATGACAACATGTTGTGTTATGAAACTGTGGCACATTTTTGTATAGAATTCATCTCAATAAATTATAATTAATTTTATCAACCCTTCAATATTCATATTTAAGGTAACAAAATTTATTTTTTAAATTTTATTTGCTTTCAGCACATATTTTCCGCCTTAATAGTGCGTCGGCCTTAATGACCTCACATATTTGTGGTAGTCGTCATGGCAACAGACTGTTCACACTAATATTTTGTCTAGTCCAACATTAAGACGACTGCATTTCTAATGTCCATATTGCCATACCAAGCACAACATGAAATTAAAGTTGTATGTTAAGATGATCATAATCGAAAATATATGTATTATGTATGTGTAACCACATCCTTATGTCGACATCATTCTTCACACACATATTGTATCTAATCCAGCATTACAACGACAATGTTTCTGAGGGTCATATTGCCATACGAAACAAAACAAACAAATAAACTTATATTTTAAAGAAACCGAAATCATAAATATACCTCATGAAGCTGCACATGAATGTACGAGTTATGTTTTAAATAATGGCTAATCGTATAATTGGTACATATTTACGGAAGATCAACTAAAACTAAAATCCAGCAAACACCAGATGAAAGATTAGTCATGCAAGTAACAAAACCGATAAATGATGAATTAGCTCACCTGATCAATGTTACCAGCGCTGATCTAAACGAACTCTTTGTATTTCAGAACCGTGAAGGAAAATAAATGACGAGTAATATTTCAGTCAACGATATTATTATTTGTACTCGATTATCATATTGTTGAATTCTATAAGGATGGAAACATTATTCCTAGTGTTGTTACGTCATCGTAGTTTCGCGATCACTTGTTAAAATCCGGTGATACCATGTTAAACTTGCAGACTTAAACGCTAGACTCACCGATATTATCAGTGAAATTCCTAATATCGTAACAAACCTAATCTCATTAAAATTGAGCATAAACAAATTAACATCATGTATACAGTAACTTCAGAATCATCAACATGGACACCGCAAAATAGCAACTATTAACGTCACTGGTGTGCATAGACTTTGTATTAAGCAGTGCCAAATTTAGGGTATTGCTTCATTTTACTTGATTTTGACTATACTAAACATGTTATAATCAAAACTGTATTTTTGCATAGATCCAACAAGTACGAAATATGAGATTAAACAGTTTGAAAATGTTTTTAAAACACAGAATATCAGTGAGTTAAAACAAACACTGAATGATCGTATCAAGAACAATTTTCTTGAATCATGGAAACAGTATCCTCAGCGTCAGTTATACTCAACAACAATCCATATGGTGGATGCCCAGCTAGTATATATTTTGTATTCGTTTAGTTTCACCAGAGTATATGATTGTATCAAAACATATTTTTCATATTTAATACAGATGTCATACTCCGTTTTTATCAAAGATACAACCCCTCCGGTGGCCTAGAGCGTCTGTCTCCAATGCGGGTGGCCGTGCGTTCCATCCCCGGTCGAGTCATACCAAGGACTAAACAAAACTGGTACTAAAAGCGGCCTAACTTGGAGTCCAGCATTAAGAAGTTAGTGTTAAGACTGGTAGTCCTGGTGACAGGATACAATTACTGGGTGGGACATCATGCTATATGTCTGTGGTATTACAGCCCAGTGCCAGACATTACTATTACCTGCCACACTGCAGACATCTCAGCGATATGACTGAAAATTGCTAAAGATACCTTAAAACTCATAAACACAACACATCAAAGATACAATTAGACTGACCAATCTGGGTTTCTCGGATCTAAGTCCAGAATCAATAAATATAAATCAGTATGTACCCTCACAAAGCGTCAAGATGAGGAAAAAATTAAAAAATTGAATTCTGAATAAATATTTATTATTATTGTTCGAACTGAACATTTTTCACTGTAGTCAGAAATAAATTATACCCCTGTTGGTTTCGATTCTACTGAAGTCACTTTCGCTTTCACTATATATACAGGTGTTATCATAATCTCTGATCGTTTCACCAATGACACAGTCACCTGTCATAATCTTTTCAACTGTTTCATACGAGCGCTCAAAATCTTTTTTGAGTCTCGTATTCGTGAAATAAATTTGAGGTGACTTTCTCTATTCAGTTCGCAAGAGAAATAAGTAATTTAAGCTGCGCATTTCTAAGTGTTAAAAGCGACTGTCGCATTGCATGTTGAATCGATTTGATAAATGTAATCGGTTGGTAGTGTTTTCTGTTCTCGGATTCTTTAAATTCAAATGATTCAAAATCAAGAATAATGTTTCAGAGTAAAGTTCGTCAGATATTTTATACCAACATTTCGCGATTGCTTACTATCAGAAATGACAGCATTAACATTTTCACGATCCAATATATAATGAATATTTGTTCAATATCAAACTATATATATATATATATATATATATATATATATATATATAAACAAGCATACAATTATACTACTAAATATTTAAACAAATATTTTCTGAATAAGTACATTTCTGAATAAATATAAGTAAAAATAAATATAAATTTATTCCTGAATAAATATAAATAAAACTAAATATAAAAATATTTCTGAATAAAAAAACATTTCTTAATAAAATGAATATAAATATATTTCCTGATTAAATACAATCATAATTCTGTCTAAACACACTATATACTTATATATATATATATATATATATATATATATATATATATATATATATATATATATATATATATATATATATATATATATATATATATATATATTTCCTGAGTAAATATATTTAGGAATAAATATATTTAAAAATAAATTTAATGGTATATATGAAGAAATATGCATATATTTCTTAATATCAAAATATTTTCTCGATCAAGACAAAAGAAAACGTCAGCAATGACGACCATTCTACTATTATAGTAAAGCCTTTGCCATGAATTACTTTGCGTTTAATAATGCCTCTATTATGGTGGTTATGTGGCACTCTTCATTGTTTAAGGTGTTTTATGGCCCTCGGACACCTCATGATACTTTTTAGACCGGCGACATTCTTTCTGAATGTCCATTGTTTAGGGTACCCTTTTTTGTGGTCACACGGTACGAGCTCACATCAACCAACTGTTTATTTTAGGGGTTGCAATTTTCATATACACAACATATGTCA